AAAAAAAAAAAACTATTGAAATTGTCTCTTGACCTCCTCATGAGTATGCATCCTTACACAAATGTACACAATCAATAAAAGGAATAAGTTTATTTTAAAAGGGCTTGAGAGATGGCGCTGCAGTTAAGGATATGTATTGCTCTTTTGAGAGATCTGCATTCAGTTCCCAGCACCCATGTCAGGTGGCACACAGCTGCTGCCTATAACTCCAGTTCAGGGAATCGGATAGCTCTGGCCTCTGCAGGCACTTGCATGGGTATGGACAAACCCATCCACATAATCGCATAACTTCAAATCAGTCTTAAAGAAAGAAGGTTGTCTATCCAAGCCCTGGTATTTTTTTATTTATATATTTTGTTTGTGTGTGTGTGTGTGCATATCCATGTGTTCCATGCATGCATACCATGAACCATATGTGAAGATCAGATGACAATTTGTGGGAGTTGGTGCTCCCTTTTTTCCATGTTAAATTCTAGAGATCTAACTCAAGTTGTCAGCCTTGGCAATAAGTACCTTTACTTCCTGAGCCAGCTCACTGACACTCTATGGCCCATTTTTGATGTGTTTATAGCTCCTGTGTACCTCTACTCATTGGGAAGCCATTTTGTGGGCAAAGGACTCTTTGTAGCCCAATCTTACCTCAGATTTCAATAGTTAATCCGAAGGATTCCTGTCTCTATAAGGGAGAAACTGGATAGAGTGGGATATTCCTGTAGTCCTGGAACTTGGAAGAAATAGAAAGATCAGGAGTTGAAGGTCATCCTCAGTTAAATATTGAGTTCATGGTCATCTTGGACTATATGAGAACCTTTTTTCAGAAAAACGGGATGCTGGCAGTCACTCTACTGGGCAAACTTATGCAATGTTCAATGACTGAGTTAATGTGTTGTTTTGTAGTTACCATGGATAATTTAGGTGTTACTCCTACACAAAGAATCATTTTCCTCTCCAAGTACTAATTGGACATACTTTTCCATTGCAGGTCAGACACATTCTATGTGAAAAACATGGCAAAATCATGGAAGCCATGGAAAAGTTAAAGTCTGGAATGAGATTCAGTGAAGTGGCCTCACAATATAGTGAAGATAAAGCCAGGCAAGGGGTATGTTACTTTTTAGCATTTGAATGTTCTGTTGTCATGCTAGGAGCATGAGCCCCAGCACTACAAAAAACAAATAAAAGTTTCCTTCACAGAGGAAATACAGCTGGACATAGGGGCACACACCTGTAATCCCATTACTCTGGGAGGCAGAGGCAGGCCTGGTCTACAAAGTGAATCCTGGGCAGCCAAGGCTACACAGAGAAACCCTATCTCAAAATCTAAAACAAAAAGGAAATCCCAAAGGAAGAACTATGTCCTGTCATTAATTTTAGCCATATCTTTGTTTCAAAAAGTAGAAATGTCCAGCTTGTGGGACTAAGGATGTAGTTAAATGGTAGAACATTTGTGTGGAATGTGTGAAGCCCCAGGTTTGATCCTTAGTCCACCAATGTCTAATTTATGAGCAGTTGCATACAAATCATCTGTGTTGAGGGGAAGGAGTATGGAAGGGGAGATGGGAAAGAGAGCATATGCTCAAAGTACATTATATAACTTGTGTGAGACATGTCCTTCAAGAACTAAGCACCAAGGACACAGAGTTACCTATCTCTAAATGTAGGTATGACCAATCTTTCACAGATCACTTTAAAATACAGTGGTATTATGAGTATTCATGCTCCACCCAGTCTTAGACTTCCTCCTCCCGTTTATCCCTCATGAGTCAGCGCCTCCATAGCACAAGTGAATAATTGCAGCCCAGTGAGCCATTGTAGTCATATTGGGAAAACTCTCTAAAGCTACAGTAGAAATGTTCTCTTTTTATCACTTGCTAACATGTATCTTTTGGACTTTTCAGGGTGACTTGGGTTGGATGACCAGAGGGTCCATGGTGGGACCATTTCAAGAAGCAGCATTTGCCTTGCCTGTAAGTGGAATGGAAAAGCCTGTGTTTACGGACCCACCAGTTAAAACAAAATTTGGATATCATATTATTATGGTTGAAGGGAGAAAATAAAATCCTATGAAAGACTGAATAAGTGTTTTATATTTTGTTTTTTCTTTTTAAAAGGTATAAAATAATCCTCATGTTTTGTGAACTGTCAGTGTGGGTTTGTAGGAAAAGATCAGGTGTGTATCAATATGTTCTGCAGTCACTTTGTTATCAATTTTCAATGATGACCTCATGCAAACTTCTTTTAACTTATGTCCCATTTCTCCCAAACTAACATTGACCCCCCAGTGTGTCTCATAAATTAACGCTGAGGAGTCAAATCTTAGAGCGCTGAAAACTTTGGGCATCTAGTAGGTGAATTAGTACATGAAAAGTATAATTCAGGTTAGTTAACTCTGATCTGCAGGACACGTATTGCTTTAATATAGCATATGGTGGCCCAGCAGCCATTCAACACCAACCGACGTTCTCCTTAATGTTAGTTTTATTATTAAGACGTGTGTGTGTGTGTGTGTGTGTGTGTGTGTGTGCGTGCATGTGCACAAGCGTGTATGCGTGTTGGTGAGATCTCTGCAATTTGCTTGCAAAAGATTATCACAGCTGGGCTTGTTGACATTCCCTCACAGGAGGGGCACGGAGGGGCACTGAACCCTTACCCACATATTCACAGCTGCTCTAGTTGTGTGTAGCCTCTGGCTTTCATGGAGAGGCTGGAAAGGATTAGGGGAAGGGGGCTCTATCTTCACAGCCAAGGGGAAGTGATCATCATGCTGGGTGGACTTTCCCAGTGTAACTATTTTTGTTCACCCATGCTTCCAGTAAAAAACCCCTCACCTATGCACTGTAAGCCCAGAAAATCACTGGTTCCCCCAGGGGGAATCGTACTTTGGTTTGCCATTAGGACCTTTGAAAAAGGGATATTGTTTAGTTCTCCCACACTGGGAGAAAATTCTTTTCCACTACCCTGTGAAGACAGTCTTTGTGGAACCAAGGCCTAAAATTAAGTCTCACACTAACTCTGGGTGGTGTCCACACTGTTTTGGTATGGACTCCCACCCCTGCACTGGGTGTCACATGAAATTAAGAAGAGCTTGGGGTTATATAGTTGCTTTTCATTCAGTACAAGGTTAAGTCTTGTTTCATCATAGGTGGGTCACACTGAACCTTTAGATGTTTCAATTCAAATACAAAAAACCCTCCACCACAAAGGTTATGGTAAGGATTAAACAGGCCTGTGTGACATACTCAATATATAGAAAGTAGGCACTTTCTAAACACTAGTTCTTTGGTGACAGCATAAACAATGCCGCACTTGGTTATTTCTGAGAGTAAATAAAAATTTAGTTTTGTTTTTGAGACAGGGTTTCTCTGTGTAGCTTTGGCTGTCCACACCTGGCTTTGAACCGTTATCTAGTCTACAACCCAAAGAGGGGCTGCGATAGCACCAAAACACCAACATAAGTGGGGCATAGTGTTGCACACCTTTACTCCCAACTCCCAAGAGGCAGAGGCAGAGGCAGAGGCAGGTGGATCTCTGTGAGTTCCAGACCAGCCAGGGCTACATAGAGACCTTGTCTAAAAAAAAAAAACCCACAGCATAATTTCTTTAAAGAAAAAGGCAGTCAATGCTCAGTGAGCGAAGAATAACCAGTTGGTAGAGTGACCCCAGGATAGTGTACAAGTGCTAAAGAATGCTAGTTAAAGGTACTATGTGCAGCTAAGCTGCAAGTACAAACACATTGCTGGGGATGTCTTAGAGGTTATTGGAACTAAAGAGATTTTGTATACATCTTGTTTGCATACAGGGATTCCTTCGGGGTCCTAGCAATTGCTTATGTCATCACCAGCCGCAGCCAGCTGCAGTGCTTGATATAAGGAATACATGCCCCGTCCCCAGCTTTCCCCCATCCCTGGTCCAGCTCCTATCTCTTTGTCCTAGGTGCCTCTACCCTGCCCTCATGGCTTACTATCTCTACCCCTTCACCTGGTCCTCACTCCTGTCCCTTCCCACGGTAACCTTTCTTATAGCAGACCTGTTGCACTGCATAATTCCTCAGGCATTGGCCCACCATGGTGCCCTCACCACTGCATCCTCGTTACATCTCCTAACACATCTGCCTATCTCCTTGTGGGAGAAAATGAATGGGAAAGAAAACATTTGAACAAAGCCGCTTTAATTTTCGGATCTGAGCTAACAGACAAGATAGTCTATTTCAGAGTAAAAATAGAACAGTTTCACAAAAACTTTACAACTATCAATTTAAAACAAAAACACTTCCAGAAGTTTGCAAAGTATGTCTAAAGAGAAAAAAATGCAATATTCATGGGAAGAACTTCTGAACAAAACTTACTTTGTATTTCAGTTTCATTTTAAACACAGTAAATGGGCTATAAAGTTCTCAAGAGTTGTTAAGTTGCTTATACAAACTTAAGGTCATGAGCATGACCTCAGGATCTGTACTTTTTATGTCAAGTGCTTTAAGTAAGCAGTTGAGAGCCTCCTGTATCTTCCCACACTCTTTCAACTCTTTCCCAAGAGCTACAAGAGTTGCATAGTCATTAGCAGCCTCCACTGCTGGATCCTGGGGAGGATCAACCGAAGGGTCATTTGACAAAGGTCCAGGGGCACAGGGAGAGCTCTGAGGGGCCAGAGAGCTCTGCAGGGCCAGAGAACAAGGCTCAGACACAGGCAAGCTGCTGGGCTTGTTTTCGGAAGCCAGTGTTTCCCCAGAAGGTTCCTCTTCTGCGCATTCTGAGGCTTCTTCACTGCTGTCTTCTGAAAGACCAGGAGCACTCTCCTCCTCACTGTTATTTTCAAGCCCTTCTTCCATATCTTCCACATCATCTAAAACAACATTGATCAGAGACCTCCTAGAAGCTAGAGATCTCCTAGAATTTAAAGACGTGTTCACATTATCAGATATTTTAGGTGAAAAGAACCTTCCAGATGGGTTGTTGTCATTTTGGGGAGTTGAAGCATCAAATTGTTTCACAGATGAGAATGGAAAGGGAGACAGGCTAAATGAACTTGTGCCGAAAGGACTTTTAAAAGCTTCTTCTTCATCTTCATCATCTGAGAGGATCCTTCTAGCTTTGTTTCTCTTTTTCACACTAATCACTTGTTCTTCCTTACTGAGATTAAGTGCTGACTCTGCCCCGGAGTCAGCTGCAGGACTCTGCAAGCTATTTTCTTTCTCAACATCTTCCAAAAACTTGCTGGAGAGATTCTGTCTCGTGTCTGCAGAGTCTTCCAGGAGAAGATTGAAATCACATGCATACTGTGGTGGTGATCCTAGAGGGTCCTCTTCCAACTCCAACTGCGGCCTCACTTCCGACTGGGCCTCGATCGCCTGAGCACCCTGCAGTGCACTAGGGGATGCTGACAAGTCATCAGATATTTCAACGACGGGTACATCTGAGTCTATGTTTTGATTTCCATTTGCTGTGGGACTGTGCTGACATAAAACCACACTATCCTGTAGATCTAAATTTGGCCCAAGATCAGCCTTGCTGAATTGTCTAGGTAAATCATTAAAGCTTCCCAGGAGGTTCTCTGGCAGGGCCTCTTGCCTAGGCAATGCTTGTAATGCCTCCTGCTCAGCTTCATTTTCAGCTGCAAAATCTTTTGCAGGTCCCGATAAAGAGTCAGTCCAAACTCCTCCTGTACTTCCAGCCCCCTGGGGTGAAGTAGCTACAGTACCAGCATCAAACGTACTTTCGTAGTGGTGCCGAGTACCTTGCAGCAAAGTAACATCACGTGCCTCTGGGGGCTCACTCTCTGCGGACTGATCAGAAATGTTTATAACAGCCATTTGAGAACTGATAGCTTCTACCTGGGTAGGAATAGTCAGAAGAGGGGAAGGTCGAGGCTGGTGGGGCTTATTCAATTCAGGACGTTTCTTCTTCTGTTGTGAAGGAAATTCCTGTGGTTTAAGCCAGGCCTCCTTGCTGCCAGTTCTTTGTCTTTCCATTGTATTTTGAGACTCAGATTCAACGAGGAGTTGAGCTTTCTGAACTCTCTGTTTAATATACTGAGAGTCTTCTAGCAAGGCCAGCTCTTCTTTAACAGACAGATCACGGGTGAACATCAAATCATGGTCTGAGATTCCTGCTATGCCCAGCGAGTGCAGATATGCAATATGTTCATCTAGTCTCTCATCAGATCGCCGCTGAGCGGCATGCAGAGACTGAAGCTGCATCTGGGTTGCAGAGTTATACAGATCCCCGATGGCGAAGAGCTCTCTTAAGTCTTGTTTGGTGAAATACCGGAATGGATTCTTCTTATCACCAGTACTTTGTCTGATTAAGGAGTCCTTGAAAACCTGTTTCCTGTATATCTTTTCTTCTACAGTTCCACAAGTGATGAGCCGATAAACCACAACATTCTCTTTTTGTCCAATTCGATAAACTCTATCCACAGCTTGAGCATCAGTTGCAGGGTTCCAGCTAGGGTCAAAAATGACCACTCTAGTCGCTGCAGTTAAAGTTAGGCCAACACCACCAACTTGAGTGGTAAGTAGAAAAACAGAGTATTCTTTATTTTGCTGGAATAACTTAATTCTTCTTTCTCGTTCTGAAAGATGAGTAATAGTGCCATCAATTCGCAACGTCTTAAAGCACTTATTCTTTAAGAGACGCTCAATGATGTTAAGAATTTGTCTCGACTGAGAGAACACCAGAGTTTGATGTCCTTCATCTTGAAGTCTCTCTAGCAGGGACATTAAGAATATCATTTTTCCGGACTCTTGCATCAGTGTATTGTCCGTTAAGTGATCAATGCTATCCATATCTGAGGCATCTTCTTGCTCATTTTCATCCAGAGCAGAGGATCTGGCAGTTCCTAGATTCAGCAAATTACAAGCTCGTGCAGATAGCAGCCTAGGGTGGTCACAGAGCTTCTTTAAGACACCCAGCTCAGCCAGAGGTGAGCGTGTCTGCACCAACAACTCCTTGATGTGATCCAAAGACACAAACTTTCTATAAATTTCCTCTTGTAAAGGCACAAGACGGATCCAAACAATGAAATCATTTTTCCTGGTGCGGGAAAACATCTCACACATGTCTTCAACACTTGGATTCTTTTTGCTGAGTCTGGCCTCTGGGTTGTCTGCCTTTTTCATCAGCACCTCTTCTTTGGTTCTCCTGAGAAAATAGGGTTTTATGATTTCCATTAAGTTTTCAGCGATCTTAAATCCCAAGGCTTTTTCCCCAGGGGTAGCATCCTTCTCTCTTGCTCTGATAATAGGATTTTCATACTCCATTTTAAAAGTCTTTAATGTTCCTAACAAGGAGCCTTGGCAAGCAAAATCAAATAAGGACCACAGTTCTTGCAAATTATTCTGGACTGGAGTTCCCGTGAGGAGGATGCGATTATTTGCAGGTACAACACGAACACATATTGCTGACTTGGTAGTGGCACTTTTGATCTTATGGGCTTCATCCAAGATGATATAGTCCCATACAAACGCTTGTCCATTAAAGCTTGCAAGTTGCTGACAATTATTGATTAACATTTGGTAGGTAGTGATAATGACGCCATTCCTTCGTTGAACCCGTGTCAGGCTTCTAGTACGTTCCTCCTTGCTGGAGCCATGAAAGGTTTTGACTCTCATTCCTGGAGTCCACTTGGCAAATTCTTTGACCCATGTATTAATGAGATTGGTTGGCATGATCAATAGCACGTGATTCACAAGTGAAGCATCAAACATACCAGACAGGAAAGCAATGATCTGAACAGTCTTTCCCAATCCCATATCATCTGCTAAGATGCCCCCTTTCCTTCCATCCTTATACAGGCTATAGAGAAAGGCGATGCCTTCCTTCTGGTGCTCAAAGAGTTTCTCATACAGCTCTCGATAAAGCAGCAAGCCAGAGTTGCACACATCTGTAAATTCATCACCATCGTCGTCGTCTTCTTCTTCTTCTGCCAACTGCTCCAAAGCTTCCTGCAGTTTTTGGATTCTGCTCAGCACCTTCTTGGTGGGAAAAATGTCCTTTGCCAAATTGAAAAGTTTCAATGCTTCTTCCAGATCTCTATTTTTAGCTGCTTCTTTGGCTTCTTGCACATATCTATTAAAAAAAAAAAGGTAAAAAAAAATATGACCTGGGACTAGGGATGTAACACAAGTAGTAGAATACTTGCTAGGCTCTGGAGTCAATTCCCAAGAAAGGAAACAGACTGAGCATTCAATCTCTGAAAGCTTTAGAGTCCATTTTGGAATCCAGACTATATATAGCTGGGCTTTTTTTTTTTTTAGACGGTCTCAATTGCCCCATGCGGTTCTTCTTAAACTCACTATATAGCCAAGGATGCCCATGAACTATACTCAGGCCTCTACTCCACCTCATAACTGCTAGGAATCGTAGGCATATGCTTTGCCCAATTTTATGTGTGGTGCTAAGGGATTAAACTCAGGGCTTTGTGTATGCTAGGCAAGCACTTTAACAGCTGAGGCTCACCCAGCCCTGTAACTGAGCTGTTTTTCTAATGCCCTCAATTCAGGGTGGCAGAGATTAGCACAGAAAAAAAAAAGTACACACTTGTATTCCAAGCACTTCAGAGGCTGAGACCAAAGGATCAAAAGTTCGAGGCTAGGGCTGGTGAGATGGCTTAATGGGGACAGGGGCTTGCTACAAAGCCTGATGACTGAGTTTGATACCTGAAACCCACATGGTGGAGGGAGAGAACTCACTTCCTTGTGTTGTCCTCTGACCTACAAACAAGCTTTTCAATGTTCATCCATCCACCTATAGCAACACAAATCGATCGATTGATCGATCAATAGACAGACAGATGTGAAAAAGAAAAAGAAAGAAAAAAACCTTTTAAAGTTCTAGGCCAGCCTGAGCTACAGAGTTAAGACCCTATTTCAAAACTAACAAAAATAAATAGTTGGACATGTTAGTGTACGCCTATAATCTCAGCAGGTGGAATGGAGAAACAGAAGAACTAAAAATGTTGTTTTCAGGGCTGGAGAGATGGCTCAGTGGTTAAGAGCACTGTCTGCTCTTCCAAAGGACCTGGGTTCAATTCCCAGCAACCACATGGCAGCTCATAACTGTAACTCCAGTTTCAAGGAATCTGACACCTTCACACTAATGCACATAAAATAAAATTAAATAAATTATTTTTAAAAAAATGTTTTCTTTCTCTGTGTATCCTTGGCTATCCTGGACTTGCTTTGCAGACCAGGCTGGCCCTGAACTCAGTGATCAGCACAACTCTGCCTCCCTGAGTGCTGGGGTTAAAGGTGTGCACTACCATGCCTGGCTGAGGATTAGGAATTTAGGGCCAAACTCAGCTACACAACAAGTTTGACACCAACCCAAATTACGTAAGACTCTATTTCAAAAAAACACAAAAGAAATAAAAATGGCTGAACAATGGTGGTACCTGCCTATAGTCCCAGCATTAGGGAGGCAGAGGCAGGCAGATCTCTGTGAGTTCCAGGCCAGCCTGGTCTACAAAGGGAGTCCAGGACACCCAGGGTTATGACACAAAGAAGCCCTACCTTGTAAACTTAAAAAGAGAGAGAAAAACCCCTCTCTCTTTTTCTCTATGGTTCAGAAGGGTTGAATATAGGGCTTCATGCATGCTGGGCAAGCACTCCATCACTGGGTTATATCACCAGCCCCCAAATCCTCTTTATTTGCGGCAAAGTAAGTCAGATTCAGAAAGGTTAGTAGTACATGGTTTCCTCTCATAGGGAGTGGGAAAAAAAATCAACAAAACAACCTGAAGGTTAAAGAAGAGCTATCTACTGGGGATTGGTAAGTAGATGGGGGAAAGAGAACAGGGAAAGGAAAGGAACAGGAGAGGATATAAGAGTAGGTGAGGCCAGGTATGGTGGCACATGTTTTTAATTTCAGCACATGAGAGGCAAAGGCAGGTGAGTTCCAGGCCAGCCTGGTCTACAAAGGGAATTCCAAGCCATCCTCAGTTACACAGTGAAACAAACAAATAAACAAATTATGTGTGTGTGTGTGTGTATTATTTAAATGTATATATGTGCATGTCACTATATGTATGTATACAATATATACATATATGTATGTATATACATGGTAAACATGATCAATACATAGTATAAACATGCAATAGCTGTGCAGCCCATTAATTTGTGTACTTACTCTGAATTAAAAATGATTAATTTTAAAAAAGATAAATAACATAAAAAGATGTTTCATGTTGGTTATCAGGAAACGTCAAGCCAAAACCACAAAGAGATACAACATTATAACCCTGTAGTGGTACAGGGGGAATGATTAAACAGTTACAAATGTCTTTGAGGGGCTGGAGAGACAGCTTAGCAATAGCAGCTAAGAGCTGCTCTTCCAGAGGACACGGTTCAATTCCTAGCACACACATGGCAGCTCACACCTGTCTGTAACCCCAGTCCCAGGGCTTCTGACACTCTCTCATAGATATACATGCAAGCAAAGCACTAATGAACATAAAAGAAAAATACATTATCTATATATATTTTTAAAGAAACAGTTTCTTTGGAGGGTCATGGAAATGTCCTAAAACTGTCAATACTAAGAGGTGACAATGATTTGAACGTGCCACACTCACAATTACGGTGTTAACTCAAAAATGTCTTTGGTGGACCCATCGTCTACAAAGTCTACAAAGAGTCCACTGCTTAATCTGTTCTTACAAGTCCTCTCTAACATAGCCAGCAACCCGTGAACCCCTCTAATCTTACCGGTCACTTCTTACCTCACACATTTTTGTTTTGGAGACAGAGTATTCCTGTGTAGCCCCGGCTATTCTGGAATTCACTGTGTAGATTAGAGAAGACTGGCCTGGCCTCAGAGATCTGCCTGCTTCTACAACCTAAGCACCGAGATCAAAGGTATGTGCCATCATGTCTGAACCTTCTACCTTATACATTTTTTTTTTACTAAGCTCTTATATCTATTATGCTTCTCTGTGATCTCCAAGTACAGGCTCATACCACCAGCCTCTTCCTAGAACACTCTCCTCTACCACTATGCTAACTTCGCCTCATTCATCCTTTAAAGACTTTCAAAGCAGGTGTGATAGCTCACACCTGTAATTCTAGTGGAGGCAAAAAGATCATGAGCTTAAGATCACTGTCTCAAAAGGCTAAAAAAAATGATTCTCAGGCTGGTTATGTGGTTCAATAGTAGAGCAACTGCCTAAGATTCACAAAGCCTTAGGATCAATCAATCCCCAGCACCAAGATAGATAGATAGATAGATAGATAGATAGATAGATAGATAGATAGATAGATAGAT